GCAGCTTCTCATTCTATACCCCAAACCCAGGCAGGCATTCTCAGAAGTGCGTGCCTTGGTGGTCTCCTGCTTGTGCTCGTGCAGTACGTTTGAAAAAGTGCTGCATGGGGCAGGTACGGTACAATAGAACCGCTGAGAGACTTTGATTTTAAGCAGAAGCGTGTGAAACGCTCGCCGTGTCATCCGTGAAGCTAAACGCACTTGTTTTTGGGGAGACTATGTTTCCACCATCACCTCTGCTTCTTCTTTGAGTGCAGTCCCGGAAAAAAAGTGAGGAAATTGAGTGGTAAATACTCTCCTGACCCGGCTCCTGTTCTAGGGTCGCTGGTGTTGATGTAGCAAACCCTCTCGACGTTGCCATTGAACTTGGCACACATCTGGTCCGTATTTCCGAGGGCTCCATCTATGCCCCTCGTTTCTTTCCTCAAAGTCTGCCAGAGAGTTAGTACCCTTGGACTTTTTTCTCAAGGAAGAACAGTAAATGTGCCTTTTACACTTCAAGAACTGGAGGCAACGCTCTCAGGGTTGCCGATCATCGGCAGCGGCCTGACGACATTATATTCGTATGTTACAACATTTACATCAGTCAGCCCTTGTAGTCCTCTTACACCTCTTTAATCTTATTTGGGCACAAGGAGTTCTTCCCCACTGTGGAAATCTGCCATTGTTCTCCCTTTCCGCAAACCGGGTACTTACAGGACATGATGCCTCCCACTATCGCCCCATCGCTCTTACTATGCAGTTTGCAAAGTGATGGACGTCTCTAAATCGACGTTTAATGTGGTATTTAGAGACCACAAACAGTCTCTCCCCTAGTCAAATATGGCTTTCGTAAGGGTCGTTCTACCATAGACCCCTTACTAGGGTTGGATACGTATGTTCGTAATGCCTTTGCGAATAATCACTCAGTTATTGCCATATTTTTTGACCTTGAGAAGGCATATGACACAACTTGGAAGTATAATATTTTGGCCCAGGCCATTCCTTAGGCCCCCGAGGCAATCTACCATCCTTCCTTAAGAACTTTTTAACTGACAGACATTTCCGTGTTCGAGTCCAATAATGTTCTTTCCCCGGACTTCGTCCAAGCTGAAGGTGTCCCTCAGGGGTGTGTTCTAAGCACAAAAACTTTTTCTCCTTGCTATAAATGATTTGGCCTCTGTTCTTCCACCCAATTTTGGTCAACACTCTATGTTGATGACTTCGCTATTGCTTGTGCAGGCGCTGACTGTCACCTTATTGCAGTTTCTCTCCAGCATGCAGTCGACCGTGTTTCCACTTGGGCCACCACCTGGTTAAATTTTCGTACCAAACTCACCAACCATTACTTTCCCCTCCCCCGATCTTCCTTTGTTCTCTATGCTCCCTTCCCCGACGTGATAAGTCAGGTTTTTTAGGCCTTCTCTTTGACCATGGTTATCCTGGAAACCTTTACATTACCTCTCTGAAGGCAACTTGTTACAGCGGCTAAACCTTCTAAAAACCCTTGCTCATCTTTCCTGGGGAGCTGATCGTTGAACTCTGCTTTCCCCACATTCAGCCCCCATTTTATCGAAACTCGATTATGGTGACCAGATTTATTCCGCGGCCCCCTCCTGTACTCTCTCTAGCCTTAACTCTATCCATCACCAAGGATTTTCGTTTGTGCCTTGGTGCTTTTCGCTCCCCTGTTGAGAGCCTCTATACAGAAGCAAATGTTCCATCCTTGTCTGATCGCTGTGATGCCCATTGCCTTCGTTACTATGTACGCTCTCACATCTACACAATCCTTCCATTTATAGAATGGTCACCGAAATTAGTAGACATTCTTTATTTGTTCGCCGCCCCTGTTTGCTCTGTCCCTTTTCTCTTCGCCTACATTCACTCTTGTCTTCCCTTCAGTTACCACCTTTATTATGTTCATGTAGCATCTCCTTTTCCCTATCCCCCTGGGAAGTTCCGCTGTTCGGGTCTGTTCTTTCTCACCCTTGCTCAAAGCTCAACTGCCTACGGTGGCTTCCCGCCTCTTTTTCTTGATCACTTCCATTCCCATTCTATGCCACCGCTGTGTACACAGATGGCTCTGAGTCTTCAGAAAGGCGTCGGATTCGCAGCAGTTTCCGGACAGCGTCGTGCGGGGCATTTACTATGTTTTACTAGCATTTTTTTCTGCTGAACTGTTTTGCCATTTTTGCAGCACTTATTCGTATCGCATCTATGCCTGTGTCATATTGTAGTAGTCTCAGACTCCCTTAGTGCTCTACAGGCTTTAAAGAAAATTGATACATCTCATCCCCTAGTTCTCCGTAAACCAACTTTGGCTACGCCGTATCTCTACCAAACATAAAGATATGTTTTTGTTGGGTCCCTGGTCATGTCGACGTACAGGGCAATGAACAGGCAGACACTACTGCGCGGGTCAGCAGTACATGACCTACCAATTTCCTATCGAGGTGTCCCTTTCTGGACTATTTGCTGCAATAGCTACCACCTTCGCACCCGTTGGCAAACAACATTGGTCAACTCTGCTCGGTAACAACTTCTTCTATTAAACCGAGCATAGGTTACTGGCCGTCTTCTTGTCATCAGTGCCGAGGTTGGGAGACCACTCTCTCCCGCCTTCGCATTGGGCCCCACTCGTCTTACTCATGGGTATCTCATGGAAAGGGGACCCTGTTCCTCTCTGTGAGCAGTGTCAAGTTCCAGTATCGATTAGCCACATTCTGTTAGACTGCCCTCTCTATCAACGAGCACGCGGAATTTACCTCCGTCGCGTTTCGTTTTCTACTACTCTCTCTTTACCTTCCCTTCTTGCTGATGGACCCTCCTTTAATCCTGACTCTCTCATTGACTTCTTGACAACGGACTGATTTACTCCCCAAACTCTGATGATACTTTTCGCACTCCCCTCAGCCCTTTCTAGTTCAGTCTCTTGCTGCCCTTTACCCTTTCACCATCCACTACCCCGCTGTTATCCGTAACCTATTACTCATCCATCTCCCTTTTGCCACCTGATGCCCTTGCTTCCTTCCTGCCCTGCAGCGCTGTATAGTCCTTGTGGCTTAGCGCTTCTTTTTGATTATAATAATAATAATAATCCTATATCAAACTAATTAAACTAACATCTCCAAGGTAAGTGTCAAGATAAAAGTGTAAGTATAAATATAAAAGGACCCATATGAAAATAACTCACTCTGACTTTTTTGGGTTATCCTAGGTACTTTACACATATGCTGCTATGTATGATAATCTATGTATGTAACTATTTGTGTTTACCTGAATAAACTTATTTATAAATTAAAATGCAAGTATTTCTTATTTATAAATTAAAATGTAAATATTTCTTATTTATAAACTATGTACATTAAGTGTGACTAGTGGTGGTGGGGTCTGCTGGTGCCTCACCACCACTATGTACAGCTTCTCTCAGTGACCCTTATAAACCCAACAACACTTAAGCAATTTACTCCTCACATACATTATGACATACATGTATTTTATTCATTCTAGAGTATATATTGTGTTTCTATGGTATTAATAGGGCTGTATAGTCCTTGTGGCTTAGCGCTTCTTTTTGATTATAATAATAATATGGTATTAATATTGTTTATGTCATATTAGATGAACTGTGATAGATAAATAAGCCATAGAGATGAAATTAGCGTCATGTTGAAGCATAATAAACTCGCCTCCCTCTCGCCTTCTACGTGTCTTCCATACACCACCAAGAGTCAATAAAGGCAAGTGTGATGTTAAATGTTCATTTATCCATTTTATTAGTGCTTTATATTTATTTGTCATTGTTTTCTGTACGTAAATCTATATTTAATCTTTAAAAAAAATATTTTTTAACACTTTTGAACGTCTGGAATGAATTTATTGGATTTCCATTATTTCTTATGGGGCAAATGGATTCGCCAATCGTGAATTTCACCATTTGGCAGGCTCTCTGGAATGGATTAAACACGAAACTCGGGGGTCCACTGTACTGTACAGTGGTACCCCGAGTTTCGAACTGCTCCCAACTCGACCAATTATGTAAGTTTATTATTATAAGTGTATTTTTGTGGGTCTGAAACGGACTACCCCTCAAGTAAGATTCCTTGATGCTGGTGAGGGGCTCCTGATCTAGGGAATTGGATCTATTCTCCAGTTCCCTGAATTAAACCTGAATACCTTCCACATCCCCCCCAGGTGCTGTATAATCCTATGTGTTAAGCGCTTCCCCCTTGATTATTATAATTATGAAACGGACTAATCTAATTTACATTATTCCTTATGGGAACAAATTCCTTCGGTAGCGGCACTCGAACAGCCTTCTGGAATGAAGAAAGTTCAAAACTTGGGGTACCACTTGGGGTACCAACAGCTTAGAAAGACAGAGGAATGTAAGAAAAATGAAAACCTTAAATAAATGCATGAAGGAAAGCTATTTTCAATATTTAAGAAAAGAGAAAGATATATGAATCATCCCATCAGGAATAAGGAGCCTATCAAGGTCCTGCTAGTCAAGGTCAAGGCTGTATTCACATGGTTTACCTGGAGAGGGTTTCGGGGGTCAACGCCCCCGTGGCTCGGTCTGAGACCAGATCACTTTTATTCTGCAAATACAAGGAACTTGTGTTGATGTGAAAGAAAATGCAAACAGGCAAGGCATGTGGATGCCATTAAGATGATTTTAATTTCTGTAATGTTTTCTTGTGAATATAACAAACTAAATACATAGTTTGTTATACATATACTGCACTTTAAACAAGTTAGTACTCTAGGACACAAATAATGAAAAGATATTTGAAGGCAACAAGTTCAGTGGTTTTTAGTGAATATGTAAATGAAGGGTCATTAATTTTGTAACATATAAAACAATAGATTTAATTGTGGCTTTTGGTATACACTATCTGCAAATGGTGAAGCAGCAACAGTTGCCTTAAATATGGTGGCTCACTACAAAGGAAAAAAATATAATTGTCAAAGAAAATATTCTCAGAGAATGCTTAGGTAGCAAGCCTGAGAAAACTTACTTGCGATAGAGTAAGACATCTTCACCACCCCAACCAATAATATCCTCATCAAAGCCTTGAACACTCAAAAAATCTGATCTATATTGGCATGTCATCCCATAGCCAAAGTCACGCCAAAACCCAGTGTCTCTAGAGATCACCAGCTGGTCCAGTTCCTGCAAGTAAAAATCTTTCAGTAAGCATTTCCATATATATCTCAATTTTTTCTTTTAGGTGTTGTGCATCATTTCAAGAATTCTAACTCTATGACCCTTGTGGGTTTAGCATTTAGTTATGATTGTAATAATAATAAATTTTTTTAATATACTGCAAGCAAAATTCTGCAAAGAATGACCTGATCCTTCTCAGTGTCATAAAGCAGTGTTGATCACTGATAAATGTAACACAGTATAGCAAATTATCTCTAATCTACACAGATACACACTTGCATTTCAGACACTGACATTGCCCCTCTTCTTTATGCATATAGTGTATTTGTAATATAGTGTATTTGTAATGCAAGAGCACAAAAAAAACTTAAAAGAGAAGAGCAAGGTACAAGTATGGTAGTTTATACAAGCTAAGGCAAACATCTTGTGTGTTAACTCTTATAGATTTATAGGATGGTGGTTGTTGCCCCCCTGAATGGGTTACAATGTTTATTAGTAATATGTAATGAAATATTACCTTTATTATTTTATATTGCTTAATTTGCGTAAAAGCTAAAAGTAAATGATGACTTTATATTTTTATTTGATGTTATATTTTTATTTTACTATGTTGTTAGGATGTATATAAAATGGCTCTTTTGTCTTGATTGTCAACTTGTAATTTTCGCTTGTCCCGTTTATGCCGGGTTTGAGCTGCGTTGTCCCCGTAGTATCACGGATCGAGGGGGGGGGGTTTCCTCACCTTCCCTAAGTTTTTAGTTGCTGTAGCTCGCTTGGGTTGGAAAATTGTCGTCTCATTTTTCTTGTTAGTTCTGTAGAACTTTGTTCAAGAACATGTAAAGACTTGTGATTTTCGACGTTGTACGAGGTTGTGTTACTTGCACTTGAAATCTCGGTCCTTAGCTATATTTGACCCAAATTTTTACTGGTTCTGTGTATTGTCACAGCACGTTTTTTATGTGAAACCCAATTCAGATTAGGGAGTTTTTTAACTTTGTGGAGGATCTGCAAGGTCCCCACTTATGTCGTTAATTTCTCCTTTTTCCCGATTCTGGCGCAGTCGCTTGATATTGCATTGCTATTGGGCTTAGCATTCTTTGTTGTTCAAGCAGACTGTTCGGGTTGCCAGTCGGTCAAGAAGTTAGTTTATTTGAGGACTTTGTCAGTCACTTGTTTAAGTCTTATTCGAGTCTTGAGACATAGCTAACTACTTAAGAGCACTTACACGCATACACATACTTGTACATATTTGTAATATCTTATTAAATGTTAATGTACCTGACGGTACTTAAGAATTATAAATGTGATATGTGCTTTCAGCACAATAATATTGAACTCGAGAGATTGATTTTATTTTGATTGCTGTGATTTAATTTAATTTGATAATATACCTCTAGACAACTTATTGCTTAATAAATTTATTAAATTTTAATTTCTCTAGTTAGTAGCCTACCAGTTGTAATCCTAAAGCACTATTGAACCATACTGAATTTAATGGATAATTGGACAAGGATACTGACTACTTGTTACGAAAACCCAGTAACAGGCTGGATGCTAGAAGGGCAGTCCTTTCTAGTATTCACTGGAGATCTCTAAACTTTTAGAATCGCGTTTTTTGTAACAGTGGTGTAACCTGAGATAGATGGAAACAATGCTAGTAACATGCTGTACAAAAGTGTAATAAACACTGGTCAATGACATGAATTTCCACAAGGAAAACAAGAATGTAGTATATTTTTGCCAACCACTGATATGATGAAGAGGGTAACATTGGAAAGAAAATATACATTACTATCTTTTATTTTCCATTTTAGTTCCTCTCTATAGGTTAATTTCAAACAAATGAAACAATACAACTTGGGGTTTGCTATAGGAATAGCAGATAAAACATACCTGAGGTACAGGTTTGCCTTGGAGAGGATAAACCATCTGAGGATTATACAGGGAAAATACGACTGGGTAGTAGACAGAATGACCTGGAAAAGCATTGAGACGGCATCGTTCCAAGAAACGAGTGCTGAAGACAATGTCAACATCACACATGAACAGCAGTACATCACCCTTGGACCAATGGGTGGCACCGACCTGAGAAAATATAATTACACTATTGCTTTAGAGTCAGTATCTGAGAAATCATTTTTAAGTACAGTATCAAACATTCCTTTTGTCTTAATATACAAAAGTACTGTGCTAGAAAATTGAATTTCAACTTATTATGTAAATATAATAATAAAAAATTAGATATCATTACTCAGTAATATTGTTTCACCCCCAAAATTATTGGAATATAAAAGAAAGTGAACCTGTACTGCACAATGTTTACCTGGAGTGCTTTTCCTCTAGAAAAAGTTTCATTTAGAGTGAGCAATTTGATGTGTCTAAACTTGGCCTCCTTGGATGCATTAGTAATAATATTTCTTACTTGTTGCAAGCCTTCGTGGCCAAAATAAACAACTGTTAGGAAAATTCGGCGATCGTGGCGAAGAATGATGGTAACAAGTTTATCCATAAATCCTCTAAATGTATCTATTCTTCCTGAGAGTGGCAGGATGATGTTGATCTGTTGATGGATCAATATGGTGAAAAAGTACACTGCACAATTACATTTTGAAGAAATTTGCTCATTAAATACTTATACCAACAGCTATATAAAAACCTTATCCCAGCCCATAAAATACTTACACAGCTACTGTTCTTTTCTTTTTTGTTAGTACAGTGGACCCCGGTTAACGATATTTTTTCATTCCAGAAGTATGTTCAGGTGCCAGTACTGACCGAATTTGTTCTCATAAGGAATATTGTGAAGTAGATTAGTCCATTTCAGACCCCCAAACATACACGTACAAACGCACTTACATAAATACACTTACATAATTGGTCGCATTGGGAGGTGATCGTTAAGCGGGGTCCACTGTATAATGTAATGTGCAGACTAATACATCATTAGAATATTACACAACTGCATACTAATATATTACCCCTCAAAGGAGGTGCCTTGATGCCACTGAAGGGCTCTTGATCCAAGGAAGTAGACCTATCCTCTCCCTATGGGATTAGCATTCCCCCATGAATGTAATGCTGTAATAATAATAATAATAATAGGAATTATTTTTATAACACACTGGATGTGTTGATTATAATAATATGCTCATACAAGCCTGTTGGTAGACAGCAATTTTCCAGGGAGGTACTAGCATGAGAGGAAAACCTGTAGTTGTTTTACACAGTGGCAGGATTGCTGGTCTCTTTTTTTTTTCATCTCATAAAATGTATGATGACATACATCTTACCAGCTCTACTTACACCAAGTTCATACTATACATGCAGTTGTGGATGTACATGTACACGTATGTCTACACATTCAGACGAGTTGTCTTCTAATCTCTTAATATTTCTTGTTCTTATAGAACATTCTTTTCACCTCCATGGGAAACCATATGAGAATTCTTCCTCCATAATAAATATCAAAAAAAGGCAACTACAATGTCAGGGAAGCAAGGGGCTGGCAACCCCTTCTCCTGTATAAATTACTGAAAAGACAAGGAAGGAAATAATAATATACTGTATAAACATACTCCCCATCTCCTAGGCACTGTCCCTAAGGGTTTACCACTTCCCAAAATATAATTAAAAATTTAGTATACGAAAACAGAAAAAATGAAGGGGGTTGGGTTTGGAGCTACCCTCACCTCAGATCAAACCTAATTACCTCCCATTCTCCATGCACTTTGTGACTCCTATGAGGTTGGCATTTTTTTATGAAAAAGTAACAAAAATATATTAAATTGGGGCGACATTTTTATCCTCCAAGGAAAAGGTTGGGCGTTAATGCCTTTTAACCCAAAGGAATAAAGTTACCAAACTTTTAATTTGTCTGATACCCCCCCAATTTCAAGCACTGTTATATCCCACTATGGTTTTAGTGTTCCCCTGTGAGATGAAACGGCGTTTTTTAACCCAAGTAAAAAAATAATGCAGGCAAAAGCTAGAAAAGAGAAAGACGGGGTGGAGATGCAGAAATATTTTTCAAAAAAGGGAAACAAATTAAAAATGGAACAACACCATAGCTAAAATAATTATTTCACAGCCCTATTAAAAAAAAATTCAAAATAAGTGATAAAATCTTGAAAAGAAAACTACTCTCAGAAAAACCCAAGGTTTCTTGATACAAAGAATTAGTTCCCTTTTCCCCTTTTCCTTGATGAAACCTGATTTCCTTCCACTCCCCATGTACTGCATAGCCCCCAAGGGTGGGTCTATCAATGAAATTTAAAAAAAATAATAAAGAAATGTACAGTTTTTAAAAGTAAGTAGATGCAAAAAAGTACTTTCAATAAATAAAAATAGAGTGCCTGAAAACAAGAGAATAGGGAGTCAAGAGAACACCATGGAGGGATGGAAAAACCCCCATGGAATCTGACTATCAGAAGGGCCTGACAAAGTTTCAGTATATTGCTAATGCAGGAGAACTGATAAATGGTGAGCTCATTATGAACTCGTATCTGTAGTTTATGGCACATGACCCGTTTTCCTTTTAAAATACTACATTTTAATGCAATGAGAGATGACTAAAATATTACCAATGCAGTTACACTAAGGGATGACTAGAGTATTACCAATGTAATATTTTACAAAGAACATGGGCAGAAAAAGTAAAACTACGAACATGGGTCTCTAAAGAGTTTTCCATAGAAAGGAAAAATATTTAAATATATAAATAAATATATATATAATATTTATAATATTTTTATAGGTAAACTATTTTTTAAAAAAAAGAGGATAAAAAAGTATACCATATGATGTAGGGCGAAATGGGCAGTAGTTTGTTGGATTATGTTTTGGTAGAAAAAGACTTTTAGTAGACTTTTAGGATGTACATTTTTATAGGGGCCCAGATATACAAATCATTTTTAGTTGTAGCTACACTAGGTAAAAAATAGATGGGATACAAGGAGAATAGAAGCACAGGGAAAAGGGGAGGTGAAGGTTTAAAAACTAAAAGGGGAGGCAGTTAGGGAAAAGATATAAACAGCTTTTGGGAGGATAGAGGCTAATGAGACATAGGCAATGGGGTCGAAGGGGTTGGGGTGGGTTTTTAAAATGTTGTTAGAGTTTTCGCAGAATTTTTGGGGTTTACAGGAAAGTGGTGAAAAGGGGGGAAGGGGAGCAGGGTGGAATGATGAGTAAAGAGAGTAGAAAGGGAGAAAAAGTTACATAGAAATTTTTTTCAAAGTAAAGTGATGAAGGGAGGAAAGTAATGGAGAAAAAGAAGAATTAAGAGAGTGGTAAAGCAATGTAAAAAAGAGCAAATGAGAGAGGGGGTGAGTTTTGTTATCAACAAATTTTTTTGAAAAAAAGAAAAAGTTTTGGAGTGAGATTAACAATTAAGAAACCCTAGAAAAACAAATGGATTTGTCATTTAAAAATGGAGAGGAGATTATTAAATGGGATTTAGGGGATTGGGAAGATGGAAGGAATTTTTTTGGGGAAATTTTGTTAAATTTATGAAGATAGGGAAGCTTGTTTTTTCTTGTATAGGGCAAGGAGGAATAACATCTTGTAGGAGTGGGAAGACCAGTTGTGGTGGGGGGAAGTTCTAGGCAGAGTAAAAAAAAGGGGGTAAGGCGGGGCCGGGATTGAGGGATAAAGATAGAAATGTTAAAACGGTGGGGAATAGTTTTTTAGTGGGTTGGGGCAATTATTTTAAAAAATGATGGAAGAGGGTAAGGACCTAGGGATTGGGAAGACATGCATTTCCTTTTAAAAAGGGAAAGGGGATAAAAGAGAGGCAAAAATTATAGGGGGGGAAATCTGTTGATGTACCTGGTAAAGTGTATGGTAGATTTTAATTTAAAAATTAAGATAAGACGGGGAATAGGGTAGCAAATGAACAAGAGGGTTTAAGGGAAAAATAGGGGGTTTGGGGGACCAGGTTTTACAGTAAACAATAAGGAACAGTATTTAGATAAGGCAAAAAAGGTCTTTGTGGCATTTATGGGTTTTGGGAAAAGGCGATACGGGGGGATAGGGGGCAAGTGGGAATGTTGCAAGGTTGGTGTAAGGTAGGTTACTGAAAGCATGAAAAAATTTTTTTTTCAGGATATGAGGGTCAAGTTAGAGAAAATAGGGAAAGAGGGAAATTTTTTCCCAGTAAAAGTAGGCCTTAGACAAGGATGTTATGTCACCGGGTTTTTAATAATTTATAGATGGGGTTTAAGAAATAAATGCGAGGGTCTTGAAAGGGGCGGGAGTTAAAAGATAAAGAATCACCACACAAATTGGAGTTTCACAGCTCTTTTTCTGATACACTGGCTCTTGGGAGATTCTGAAGAGAAGTTCAAAATTGGTGGGATTTTTTGGGTGGGGTTTGCAAAAGAAAAAAATTAAAGGTGAATACAGGAAAGATAAGGTTATAAAAGGATAACAAAAAGATTGGGTTTGATAAAAGATTAAATATCAATTGGGGAGGGAGAGAGTAGGGGAGGGGAACGTTTTCAGATATTTGGGAGGGGCGTTCAGCGGAGGGTCTATAAAAGATGGGGTAAATCATAGAATTGATGGGGGAAAAGAGTATGGTGCACTTATAGTCGTGGAGACAAAAACTTGTCCTTTGGGGAAAAGGGGGGGGAAATGAAAAGGAAGATAGTTTTACCAACCTCTTATAGGGGTGAAGCGTGGTGATAAATTTTTGCACGAGGAAAGGGCTGGAGGCAGGGAGAGTCCATTCTGAGGGCAATTGTGGTGTGAATATAATGCAGAGAATCGTATTTTGGGTTGGAGGGGGTGCGGGATTACCAAAACTGTTGTCCAAGGGCTGAGGAATTGTTGAGGGGGTTGGGGGACATGTAGGAGAAGGAGCAAACGAAGACTTAAAAGGTGTATCAGTCTGTAGGGAGGAAGGCGGGGTAGGGGTGGGCCTGGGAAGGGTTGGAGGGGGGGTAAAGGAGGTTTTGTGTCGGGGGGTTTGGACTTCCACGGGCATCGGAGCGTGTTTATAGGAGTGAATGGAGACAAAGGGTTTTTAAACTGACGGCTGTTGGAGTGTGACAAAGAAACATTTATAAAGGGGATTCAGAGAAACCGGCGGGGCCGGGACTTGAGCCGGGAGAGGGGAAATCAGTCCTCAAATTAAGAGGGGTTTTTAATTTTGCTTTTAAAAACTGTAGTGTAAAGCACCCTTCTGGCAAGACAGTGATGGAGTTGAATGATGGTGAAAGTTTTTCTTTTTCGGGCCACCCTGCCTTGGTGGGAATCGGCCGGTGTGTAATAAAAAAAAAAAAATAATAATAAAAATATATATATAATAATATATATATATAAATATAAAATATATATAATAAAAAATTAAATATATATATAGAATAAATATATATATATATATTAATATATATATATATATATATATATATATATTTTTTTTTTTTTTTTTTTTTTTTTTTTTCCAACAAGTCGGCCATCTCCCACCGAGGCAGGGTGACCCAAAAAAGAAAGAAAATCCCCAAAAGAAAATACTTTCATCATCATTCAACACTTTCACCACACTCACACATTATCGCTGTTTTTGCAGAGGTGCTCAGAACACAACAGTTTAGAAGCATATACGTATAAAGATACACAACATATCCCTCCAAACTGCCATATCCCAAACCCTTCCTTTAAAGTGCAGGCATTGTACTTCCCATTTCCAGGACTCAAGTCCGACTATAAGAAAATAACCGGTTTCCCTGAATCCCTTCACTAAATATTACCCTGCTCACACTCCAACAGATCGTCAGGTCCCAAGTATCATTCGTCTCCATTCACTCCTATCTAACACGCTCATGCACGCTTGCTGGAAGTATGTATGTATGTATGTATGTATGTATGTATGTATGTAGTAGGTTGGTAGACAGCAACCACCCAGGGAGGTACTACCGTCCTGCCAAGTGAGAGTAAAACGAAAGCCTGTAATTGTTTTACATGATGGTAGGATTGCTGGTGTCTTTTGTCTGTCTCATAAATATGCAAGATTACAGGTACGTCTTGCTACTTCTACTTACACTTAGGTCACACTACACATACATGTACATGTTTATTTATACACACTCATCTGAGTTTTCTTTGATTTTATCTTAATAGTTCTTGGTCTTATTATTTTTTCCTTTTATATCCATGGGGAAGTGGAATAAGAATCTTTCCTCCGTAAGCCATGCGTGTTGTAAAAGTCAACTAAAATGCCGGGAACAATGGGCTAGTAACCCCTTTTCCTGTAAAGATTACTAAAAAGAATAAGAAGAAGAAAATTGTCAAAGTGGGAAGTCTGAATGTGCGTGGATGTTGTGCAAATGATAAGAAAGAGATGATTGTGGATGTTATGAATGAGAAGAAACTGGATGTCCTGGCTTTAAGTGAAACAAAGCTGAAGGGGGTGGGAGAGTTTCAATGGAGAGGAATAAATGGGATAGGTCGGGGGGTTTTCAAAAGATTAGAGCTAAAGAAGGAGTAGCAAAAAATTTTGAAGGAAACAAGGGCAAAAAGAGGGACACAAAGCTAAATTCAAGGTTTATGTGGAGTAAAAAAAATTGGATGTGAAAAGTGGGTTAAGTAAGCATATATGCACCTGGGAAGAGAGAAGGTAGAGGAAGAGAGATTCTGGGAAATGTTGATAATGCAGGGGGGGGGAGTTTTTGAATCAAGTGTGAGAGTAATGGGGGTTGGGGTTTTAAATGCAAAGTGGGTAAAAATTTTATGGAGGGAGTGTAGGTAAATTTGGGGTGCCAGGGGTAAATGTAAATGGGGACCTTTAATTGAGCTATGTTAGAAAAAAATTTTGGTAAAAGTAATACATATTTATAAAAAGAGGGATAAAAAAATATACAAGTATGATGTAGCACGAAAATGAAAGTATTTTTTTAATTATGTATTGGGGATAAAAGGTTGAGGGTAGGCTCCAGGATGAACATGTTTATAGGGGGCAAACTGATATATAATCTTATTTAGTGTAGCTACAGTTAGATAAGAGGTAATGGGAAAAGGGAAGGTGGCAACAAAAATAAGAGGGAGGTAAAGGTATAAACAAGGGGGGAGGGAATTCGGGCGAGATATAAGAGCTTTGGGGAGAAAGGTGGGCTAGTGCAAAAGATATAGTGGGGGGTTTAAAGGGTTGGAATAGTTTTTAAAAAAGCAGATTAGAATGTGGGGGAGAATTTGTGGTTTATAGGGGGTGGGGGGAGGGGGGGAAAGAGGATGTTGGGGGGGGGGGGGGTAAAAGGGTTGGGTAAAAAAAAAGGGACTTCGGGGAGTTTTTTAAAAACAGAAGTGCAAAGAAAGCAAAATGGGGATAAAAGAAAAGGTGAAAGGGGTGAAACCGAAAAAGGGAGAAGAAAGAGTGGGAAGGGGCCCGCAAGAAAAAAATGAAAATAAGGGAAAAAAGGAGTGAGTTTAAACAAGTTAAGAAATAGGGGAAAAAATGGATTTTCCGTTAAAAAAACAGAGTAGGGAGTTAGTAGATGGGGGAAGGGGGGTAAAAGAGATGGTGAAAATATTTTGAGGAACTTTTAAATGTTGAGGAAGAAAGGAGGCAGTAATTTCATGCACTGGCCAGGGAGGTATACCATCTTTTAGGAGTGAAGAAGAGCAGAATGTAAGTGTGGTGGAGGTACGCGAGGCATTACGTAGAATGAAAGAACATAAGAAAAAGAGGAACACTGCAGCAGGCCTGTTGGCCCATACTAGGCAGGTCCTTTACAATTCATCCCACTAACAAACATTTGACGAACCCAATTTTCAATGCCACCCAAGAAACAAGCTCCGATGTGCAAGTCCCACTCAAATCCAACCCCTCCCACTCATGTACTTATCCAACCTAAATTTGAAACTACCCAAAGTCCCAGCCTCAATAACCCAACTAGGTAGACTGTTCCACTCATCAACTACCCTATTTCCAAACCAATACTTTCCTATGTCCTTTCTAAATCTAAAAAGGGGGTAAAGCAGCTGGAACTGATGGGATCATGACAGAAATGTTAAAAGCAGGGGGGATATAGTGTTGGAGTGGTTGGTACTTTTGTTTAATAAATGTATGAAAGAGGGGAAGGTACCTAGGGATTGGCGGAGAGCATGTATAGTCCCTTTATATAAAGGGAAAGGGGACAAAAGAGATTGTAAAAATTACAGAGGAATAAGTTTACTGAGTATACCAGGAAAAGTATACGGTAGAGTTATAATTGAAAGAATTAGAGGTAAGACAGAATGTAGAATTGCGGATGAGCAAGGAGGCTTCAGAGTGGGTAGGGGATGTGTAGATCAAGTGTTTACATTGAAGCATATATGTGAACAGTATTTAGATAAAGGTAGGGAAGTTTTTTATAGCATTATGGATTTAGAAAAGACATATGATAGAGTGGATAGAGGAGCAATGTGGCAGATGTTGCAAGTTATGGAATAGGTGGTAAGTTACTAAATGCTGTAAAGAACTTTTATGAGGATAGTGAGGCTCAGGTTAGGGTGTGTAGAAGAGAGGGAGAATACTTCCCGGTAAAAGTAGGTCTTAGACAGGGATGTGTAATGTCACCATGGTTTTTTAATATATTTATAGATGGGGTTGTAAAAGAAGTAAATGCTAGGGTGTTTCGGGAGAGGGGGGGGATTAAATTATGGGGAATCAAATTCAAAATGGGAATTGACACTGTTACTTTTTGCTGATGATACTGTGCTTATGGGAGATTCTAAAGAAAAATTGCAAAGGTTAGTGGATGATTTGAAAATGTGTGAAAAGGTAAAAAATTGAAAGTGAACATAAAAAAAGGGTAAGGTGATGAGGGTATCAAATTATTTAGAAAAAGAAAAATTGGATATAAAAATTGGGGAAAGGAGTAGGAAGAAGTGAATTTTTTCGAACTTGGGAGTTGACGTGTCGGCGGATGGTTTTTGAAGGATGAGTTAATCATAAAATTGATGAGGGAAAAAAGGTAGTGGTGCGTTGAGGTAATGTGGGCAAAAACGTTATCTATGGGGGCAAAGAAGGGTTTATGAAAGTATGTAATACCAACACTCTTTAGGGATGTAAAGCGGGGGGTGGTAAAGGGCACAGCGAGGGAGGGTTTTGGAGGCAGTGGAGATGCCCTGTCAAAGGGCAATGTGGGGTGTAAATATTATGCAGAAAATTCGGATGTGGAAATTAGGAGAAGGTGGGGATTAAAAACATTAGCCCAAGGGCAGAAGAGGGGTTGTTGAGGTGGTTTGGTCATTAGGAGAATGGATCAAAGTAAATGAATGGAAAGCATATAAATCATGGGGGAAGAAAGAGGGGTAGGGGTCGTCCTCGAAAGGGTTGGAAAGGGGGGTAAAGGAGTTTTTTGGGCGAGGGGCTTGGACTTCCCGCAAGCGTGCAGGGTGTTAGATAGGATGGAGGAGAGAATTAAATGACCGGTTGTTTGGGGGGAAATAAAAAGTAAAGGGGGGGTATTCATTTAGGGAAGGGGGTTTTTATTTTAAGTTATGCTTTTAATGGTTTTGGAACCCTTTAAAAAAGGGTTTGTGGTGTTAAAGGTTTTAATTAATATTTTTTTTTGGGGTTTTTTTTTTGGTTGTGGGGGGAAAAAGGGTTGTTTAAAAAAAAAAAATTGGGGAAATTTTTTTTTTTGTCCGCTTTACCTGGAAAAAAAAAAAAATAAATTTTTTAAAATTTTTTTATTCATTTTTAAAAAATTTTTTTCAACACTAATGTTCAAATTTTTTCAAAACCTTAAAAAGGGGTTTGGGGGGAAAGGTTTGGAGAAAAATTTTTTTTTTATTTTTTTTTTTACCCCCGGGGGAGGGGGTTTTTGAAAAAAAAAAAAAAAAAAATTTTTTAAAAAAAAATTTTTTTAAATTAAAAAAATTTTTTCATGAAACAAAAAACCCAAAAAATAATGTTTAGAAAATTTAAAAAGGGTTTAAAAATTATTATTTTCATATGGGGCCCTTTTAAAAGTATCACTCTTGGGGGGACAAAAAAATTAAATAATAATTTTAATTAAGAAAAAAAAAAACAACAAGGGGGAATGAATAGGAAATACTTGGGTTTTAGAAAAAATTTAAAAAGCCCTTTTTTTATAAGGGCCTTTTTAAATTGGAAAAAAAAATTCCCCCAAAAAAAATTTTAAAAACCCCCTTTATTTTTGCTTTGGAATTTTTTAATCAAGTTTAAAAAAACCTTTTTTGACGTTTGGGGAAAACCCCAAAAGAAGACAAAACATTTTTAAGGTAAGTAATGTGTGTACTGTATATGCATTTTTTAAGCCTAGCTCTATTGCTCACTTGATATATGGTAGTATAAACATGTTATTAGGAAACTGAAAGTGAAAAAAGGCTATGTTTCACTTTACAGCTTTCAATGAATACAATGATAATTACTAGGAACAACAAGATCTTACCAGTTGTTTAGTGCTGTGTTGCACTTTAGTAACTACAGTTAATGGTGCAAAGGGTCTTAAAAGCGTGACAGAGCGGTACTGGTGACCGGAGTGGTTGGCATGACGGTCATGGAACTGTAACTCGTACTGAGTGCCACTTGTCGCCACTGTGCGGTACATCCCCTCTACAAAATCATCCACTGTAAATCTGCAAAAGGAGAAAATATCTACATACACTTACTTCTCCAATACTCTCTCCCTCCATTCTGATATACACTCTTTCAGTGCCCAAACATTTTTAATCTGATCACATTGCTTTTCTATGTACACTTTTAATTTCCTTCTTTTACATACCCTCACACCTTCATTCACCAAGATTTGCCAACTCTCATCTAGTATCAAATTCATTCTTTCTTTAATCTCACAATAAAAGTTATATGATTTTATAATATTTATTGCTATTTTTCTATTATTTATTATTATCATAAGTAAGCACTAAGCCCATAAGGGTCACACAGTGCTCCACTGTTTTTCTATGCCTTGGCCTACCATACAGTATTCAAATTAATATCTAACATACAAAGTAAGACGCAAACATAATTCTTTTATAGATCAGAGAAGCTGCACAATGCTGTTGTATTTTTCTATGAAAAAGGTGGAGCATAAACATCTGAAATTTTAATACTGTATTAGTAAAAATACTACTGCATTTCAAATATTTACTGGTACTTAAAATATGGATGAACTGTTCATTCTAACTCCATGTCAACAGTAATATATAACTATAAATAAATAAATTGAAGGTAGTAGGTTGGTAGACAGCAACCGCCCAGGGAGATACTACCGTCCTGCCAAGCGAGTGTAAAACGAAAGCCTGTAACTGTTTTACATGATGGTAAGGTTTCGGGTGTCTTGTATCTGTCTCACAAACATGCAAGGTTTCAGGTATGTCTTGCTGCTTCTATTTATACTTAGGTCACACTGCACATGCATGTACTTTAATATATATACACACCCCTCTGGGGTTTCTTCTATTTTTCTTACTAGTTCCTGTCCTTATTTCCTCTTATCTCCTTGGGGAAGTGGAACAGAATTCTTCCTTCGTAAGCCATACGTGTCGTAAGAGGTGACTAAAATGTTGGAAGCAAGAAGGCTAGTAACCCCTTCTCCTGTATATATTACTAAAGTTAAAAACAGAGACTTGTGTTTTTCTTTTTTGGGCCACCCTGCTTCAGTGGGATTAGGCTGGTTTGTTGAAAGAAGAAGAAATAAATAATTGTATGTATGCATGCATGATTTTTGCAAACTAGACAGCACTCACCTGGCAGGTATGGGTGTATTAAGATGATCAAGAGCTGCAGTGAGAGCAGCAAGAATATCACGACGCTTAAAGCCTATAGGTTTCTCCACCACTCTCTTACCCAGGCCAAGCTCTGAGGGGTACACCCTTGACCATGTGAAGTGGGAGAAAGCCACAATCTCATACCTGAGGAAACATCAATTATTTAGGAATCTCTCATCTGAAAATGTTATGAAAATTCTTAAGATAATTTAGGTAAATTTTGCTACTCATATTATGTAAATGGTGGTAAGGTTTGGGTATTTCGTTACTTTTGATGCAAAATTAAAAACTGGTATAACTTTAGCTTACTGTTTTAATGGGAAGGAAATTGGCAAAAGAAACCAATCTTTAGATCTATAAAACTATGATAATTAGCAACTACTCAGGAAAAATCAAACAATATTATAATAAACACTAGTTAGTTTCAGAAATGAACCCACAAGGAGACTATGAAACAAGACAAGGCGACTACTGCATATTTCGGCTTCACACAGAGACCTCTTTTAATCTTTGATGCATAGAATGAAGATGATGCAATTAAATATTGATGGTATTAAGTACTGTACCCCATACTCATGGAGTGGGCTATAATCAAGATTACAAAAGCACACAATGGTACAATAAGACTGCATTCTCTTTAGGCCTTTGACATTACACCCATAGTGCCCAATAGATAATTCAGCCTGGCCCAATGGGTTCAGGGATCGGACCTCAAAACTTTATCTGATTAAAGTTACAGAAGTAACAGTTGGTTTAGAAAGTCAGTGAATTCAGTCACATTCTTCATAATGGAAACATTAGAGGCACCTTCAACAATATATAAAATACTATATAAACGTTCCCCTCAAGGAAGGTTCCTTGATGTTGGTGAGAGGCTCTTGATTTAGGGAATTGGGTCTGTGCTCCAGTACACTGAATTAAGCCTGAATGCCTTCCACATCATCCCCCCCCAGGCGCTGTATAATCCTCCGGGTTTAGCGCTTCCCCCTTGATTATAATAATAATAATATTTTTTTTTTTTTATTATCACACTGGCCGATTCCCACCAAGGCAGGGTGGCCCGAAAAAGAAAAACTTTCACCATCATTCACTCCATCACTGTCTTGCCAGAAGGGTGCTTTACACTACAGTTTTTAAACTGCAACATTAACACCCCTCCTTCAGAGTGCAGGCACTGTACTTCCCATCTCCAGGACTCAAGTCCGGCCTGCCGGTTTCCCTGAACCCCTTCATAAATGTTACTTTGCTCACACTCCAACAGCACGTCAAGTATTAAAAACCATTTGTCTCCATTCACTCCTATCAAACACGCTCACGCATGCCTGCTGGAAGTCCAAGCCCCTCGCACACAAAACCTCCTTTAACCCCCTCCCTCCAACCTTTCCTAGGCTGACCCCTACCCCGCCTTCCTTCCACTACAGACTGATACACTCTTGAAGTCATTCTGTTTCGCTCCATTCTCTCTACATGTCCGAAACCACCTCAACAACCCTTCCTCAGCCCTCTGGACAACAGTTTTGGTAATCCCGCACCTCCTCCTAACTTCCAAACTACGAATTCTCTGCATTATATTCACACCACACATTGCCCTCAGACATACATCTCCACTGCCTCCAGCCTTCTCCTCGCTGCAACATTCATCACCCACGCTTCACACCCATATAAGAGCGTTGATAAAACTATACTCTCATACATTCCCCTCTTTGCCTCCAAGGACAAAGTTCTTTGTCTCCACAGACTCCTAAGTGCACCACTCACTCGTTTTCCCTCATCAATTCTATGATTCACCTCATCTTTCATAGACCCATCCGCTGACACGTCCACTCCCAAATATCTGAATACGTTCACCTCCTCCATAACTCTCTCCCTCCAATCTGATATCCAATCTTTCATCACCTAATCTTTTTGTTATCCTCATAACCTTACTCTTTCCTGTATTCACCTTTAATTTTCTTCTTTTGCACACCCTACCAAATTCATCCACCAATCTCTGCAACTTCTCTTTCAGAATCTCCCAAGAGCACAGTGTCATCAGCAAAGAGCAGCTGTGACAACTCCCACTTTGTGTGTGATTCTTTATCTTTTAACTCGACACCTCTTGCCAAGACCCTCGCATTTACTTCTCTTACAACCCCATCTATAAAATATATTAAAAAACCACGGTGACATAAACACATCCTTGTCTAAGGCCTACTTTTACTGGGAAAAATTTCCCTCTTTCCTACATACTCTTAACTTGAGCCTCACTATCCTCGTAAAAACTCTTCACTGCTTTCAGTAACCTACCTCCTACACCATACACTTGCAACATCTGCCACACTGTCCCCCCTATCCACCCTGTCATACGCCTTTTCCAAATCCATAAATGCCACAAAGACCTCTTTAGCCTTATCTAAATACTGTTCATTTATATGTTTCACTGTAAACACCTGGTCCACACACCCCCTACCTTTCCTAAAGCCTCCTTGTTCATCTGCTATCCTATTCTCCGTCTTACTCTTAATTCTTTCAATTATAACTCTACCATACACTTTACCAGGTATACTCAACAGACTTATTCCCCTATAATTTTTGCACTCTCTTTTATCCCCTTTGCCTTTATACAAAGGAACTATGCATGCTCTCTGCCAATCCCTATAAACGTTATATATTATCGAGTGATTCTGTATTCACTGGAAAAAGTACACTTACTGTTAATTAGTTTGTCAATGGCAGAGTATATATTTAGTTAAGTTTTCTTGCTTCCTTAATGCAATGGATGACAACTATTTCAGTCATCTTGTTAAGCTAATAAGTGGATGGCAGATGCTTTAATGTGTAACACTGGTAAAGTTAGTCTAGCTAGATGCAGAGGTATAAACATTTGACTAACTCATTTGCTGTGTTATTAGCTTCCATCTTTTTTTACCCTTGTTTCTGGTAACTGCTTTTTAAAGTGTCACTCTCTATCCTATCAACTGCTCAAAATACATTATCTTTTGCCATGATCATACCTTCCCTAGTACTCTCCTCTTCTCTTCCAGAGAAGTCGTGCTCATGTAAACTTACTCATTATTAAGCGGGATGCCCTGCGTGATCTCGGACTGAGCGACCTGGTGTTGTATTACAGCTCCACAGGGACCATCCACCACCACTACATTAGTGTTGGTGGCAGTGTCACCACTGCCACCAGATACAAGTGTAGGCGCTTCCAACCCACCCCACCCTGGGCTCTCAGATGACTCTGAATCACCTCCTTAAAAAAAAGAAAAAATAAACAATTAAGGTTATGGAATTACACATTAAACATCTTCATAAAATTCTGAAATTTTTTTCAATATTTTTAGCATTTTCATGATACATACTTTAATTGTGCAAGAGAATAGCCACAACACTATGATGAACACTTCAGACATAATCCACCCTTGGGAGAGAAACCTTATAACAATTTGGTCTGTCTTGTATCAACGTCAAATCACAACTCGGGTGTGGCTTGACAATGGTCCAAAATGGATTGACACAAAATAGGTTTCCTCTCCTAAGAGTGGGTTATTTGTGGCTTAATTGGTAGCATCCTCAGCTCACACAGAGAAGGTCTGGGATTGATCCCCAGCATGGGTGCAACATTTAGCATGTTTCCTTACATCTGGTGCCCCTGTTCACCTGGGTGTTAGCTGACTGTTGTAGGTCACTTCCTGGGGGACAAGATTAGCTGATGAACCCTTGCTGAAATACTGGTCTCCAAACTTGTGCTAACACTACTGAAGTCTTCCAGCTCAGGGTGACACATTTCAATACCTATGAACCCCATCATGCATAATGAAATATGACAGGGAAACATAGCTAGCTTTTGCTCCCACTTTAATTATATAGAATAGGGTAGCAGCATACTACTGATGTATCCAATTTTGTTGAACATAGTACTGTATATAAAAAAGCAGAGGGGGTCTCCTACACCCTCACCTGGATCCAGAAACCGGCTTCCCACCAAAAACCGTTAAATAAATATCCACAAAGCAGAAAAATGGAACTGATGAATGAAAACAAGTAACTTTGTATGATTTTTTTTTTTTTGGGTTGGGGGGTGGGGTGGGGGTTCTTCTTCTATCTTTCTTCTTTCAACACACCAGCCGTATCCCACCGAGGTGGGGTGGCCCAAAAGGAAAAAAAAAGCTTCTCCTTTTACATTAAGTAATATATACAGGAGAAGGGGTTTGGGGGGGTTATCCTAGGTAATTTACATTAGGTATGATAACTGTACTTAAGTGTACCTGTGCCTAAATAAACTTATTTACATGCCCTTCCTGTGACATGCCTAGCAAGCAAAATAAGACAAGGACAAGAGTCCCAGAGATTCAGTAATTTCATTAAGGCACAGGTACAGGAGTACAATTATCATACATCGTGTCAATTACCTAGGATAACCCAAGAAATTCAGAAAAGTGACTGATTTCCATGGGGATCCTTGATAACAGGTAATCTGTCACTGATGGCAAGATGCCCAATACTTGACATGGGTGAAATATTGGGCATAATAATTTTATTTCAGCATTATACAATGTTTGTACAGAGATGGGGCACATTTTTTGTACATTTAGAAAGCCCATAGTTATGCAGAACATTTCAGGCAACAGTTCCTTACACCTGTTGTTCCTGTTCACTTAGTTTTCAGTAGGTTCCTGGGTGTTAGTTGACTTGGGTGGGTTGCATCCTGTGAAGAAATTTAATAAAATCTAATTTGCCCAAAATGCTCTGCATAACCAGGGACTTTCGATATAGTGTGTCACTGATGTCAGCTATGGTCTGTATAAGTTGTATCATGTACTTGTAGAAATAAAGATTATTATTATTATTAAATGCTCTGCACAACCAGCTCTACCAGAAGGGAAACTTGGAATCAAGTTTATTTAGGCACAAGTGCAATTAATAACATACATAATGTAAATAACCCACCAGGGTAACTCAAAGTCAGACAACGTGACTTACTTCCATTGAGGTCCTTGGAAGGTCTGTTTGTCACTTGGCCAAAATATTAATGCTTCAGTTGCCCTTCCTAGTGCATTCTAGCACAGGTAATTTTTTGCTAATATCTTTAAAAATAACAATTTGCTAAATAAACGGCTAGTATTTTTAACAGGATTTAGATAACCTGTGTGTATCTTAAATATATTAATGACTGAGTTCTGGCTACCGTTACCTTAACTCTGATATTATTATTATTATTATTATTATTATTATTATTACTGTATTATCATAACTAAGTGCTAAACCCACCTGGGCAATACAGCATTACCTTTAATATACCTTTGATGAGCTCAGGTAATTTCTGAGTTGCAATTGTTTTAAAATATATACATGCTATGGTCAGTCAGCTCACAGGATGTAGCAAGGAAGAAATTATAAGATAAAACTCCAAATTTTGGCCAAGGAAAAAAAATCACAGGAAATGAAGCTACTTTAAATATGCTTAACTTGTGGCCTGATTTACACTAGTGATATGGTTATGTATGTTCTCAAAAGACCTTAATGAGAATCTCGAGAATGTTGTTCACCTTACATATACAGAGCAGCATTCATCTATCTGTGGTTGGAGGGGTCAAGTCTTAGCTCCTGGCCCCACCTCTCTGCTATTAGTTAACAGACCCTCCAGGGAGGTTCCTTGATGCTGGTGAGGGGCTCTTGATCTAGGGAATTGGATCTGTGCTCCAGTTCCCCGAATTCCTTCCATCCCTCCCCCCAGGCGCTGTATAATCCCAAGGGTTTAGCGCTCCCCCATAATAATAATAATTGTGGAAAATACTTTTATATTTTCCGGAAATACGGTAATTTATAGGTAAATAGATGCCCTATACTGTATTTAGTAAAAGTGTATTTTTAAAAAGAGGGGAGTCGCCATTTTGTTTGAATTTGGATTAGAAACGTTGGTGTAATGGGAAGAATTTTTCGTGCTCTAGAGGTTAAAATTAGGCTGACACCTCTCAAATAGGAGACGAAATTGATGGATGTGCATTCCTGCATAACTTGAGATATCAGGCGACTGGACAAGACAGCTCCAGGAACCTCAGATAAGTCTTATGTAGTAACCTGGCCAGTGTTATTTTCATAGACAGTGAGGTTTTCTGAGTATGATACACATTAATCTCCAGTCAAATTGGTGAGTGTTATGATTAAGATATATTCTCCTTCTGTTATATAAATGTGTGTATATACTATAATCCTTTTTTAATTTTAATATACAGTCCACAAATTTATATATTTACCAGCATTCCTGGCGATGTATATTTCATTTAATTAATAGGTCCAGAGCAACTTGTGGATATGAGAGTGGTACTCAGCAATCAACATTTGCACCAATAACTCACTACAGTTGTGACCGGGTGTGGAAGTGTGAATTGCTCATTACTCTAAAATTTGTTCATGATACTAATGCCGAAAAAAAAATCCCCCCCAGTACCAACAATACCACCAGTCCGATAACATTCTTCTTTGCAAATATACAGGGTCTAAAGCCAGCAACAAACAACAAAATACCTTTCATCCGTGGACTGCTTGCAGAGGCAAAGGCAATGTTCGCGGCTTTCACTGAGACCCACATAAAGGATCACTTGGACAATGAAATATGGATCCCAGGTTACAACCTATACAGATGTGACAGAGTGAACAGGCAAAAGGGGGGGGTTGGCCTGTACATTGCAGAGTCACTTGTTTGCACAGAACTGCTTAATGCCTCAAATGACGTAGTGGAAGTTTTACCCAGTAAAGTCGAGAACCAAAACCTAGTCATTGTGGTAGTCTACAAGCCTCCGGATGCAACATCCCAGCAATTCCAGAACAGCTGTTAAAAATTGACCACTGTCCGGAAAATCTTCCAGCTCCTGCACCCAACATCTTGCTCCTGGGGGATTTCAACTTAAGGCACCTAAAATGGAGGAATATAGCAAATAATATTGTTGCAGAAAATAACACCAGGAGGCAGCTCTGATGAAAACTCACACTCACACGAGCTTTTAAATCTCTGCACAAAATTAAATTTTAAACCAGCAAATAATAGAGCCTACTAGACTGGAGAATACACTAGACCTCATATTCACTAACAATGATGATCTGATAAGAAATGTCACCATATCAAAAACAATATACTCAGATAAACAACATAATTGAGGTTCAGACATGTATGCGAGGAGCCCCAGACTGACAAAATGAGACTAGTCACGAGGGAGCATTCACCAAATTCAACTTCAATAACAAAAACATAAAGTGGGACCAAGTAAACCAAGTCCTAACCGATATAAGCTGGGAAGATATACTAAGCAACACAGACCCAAACTTATGCCTAGAACAGATTAACTCGGTGGCACTCGATGTATGCACAAGGCTTATTCCTCTAAGAAAAAGGAGGAGTAGATGTAAAATAGAAAGAGACAGGCGCTCCCTTTACAGGCGATGGAAAAAAATAACAGAGCGGCTAAAAGAGGTCAATATATCTGAAATGCGCAGGGAGACACTGGTCAGAGAAATAGCAAGCATCGAACTTAAGCTAAAAGAATCCTTTAGGAGTCAGGAATCGCGGGAAGAACTAAAAGCTATAAATGAAATCGAAAGAAACCCAAAGTATTTCTTCTCCTATGCCAAATCAAAATCGAGAACAACGCCCAGTATTGGCCCCTACTTAAACAAGATGGGTCCTACACAGATGACAGCAAGGAAATGAGTGAGCTACTCAAGTCCCAATATGACTCAGTTTTTAGCAAGCCGCTAACCAGACTGAGAGTCGAAGATCAAAATGAATTTTTTATGAGAGAGCCACAAAATTTGATTAACACAAGCCTATCCGATGTTATCCTGACGCCAAATGACTTCCGAACAGGCGATAAATGACATGCCCATGCACTCTGCCCCAGGGCCAGACTCATGGAACTCTGTGTTCATCAAAACTGCAAGAAGCCCCTATCACGAGCCTTTTCCATCCTATGGAGAGGGAGCATGGACACGGGGGTCGTCCCTCAGTTACTAAAAACAACAGACATAGCCCCACTCCACAAAGGGGCAGTAAAGCAACAGCAAAGAACTACAGACCAATAGCACTAACATCCCATATAAAAATCTTTGAAAGGGTCCTAAGAAGCAAGATCACCACCCATCTAGAAACCCATCAGTTACACAACCCAGGGCAACATGGTGTTTAGAACAGGTCGCTCCTGTCTGTCTCAACTACTGGATCACTACGACAAGGTCCTAAATGCACTAGAAGACAAAAAGAATGCAGATGTAATATATACAGACTTTGCAAAAGCCTTCGACAAGTGTGACCATGGCGTAATAGCGCACAAAATGCGCGCTAAAGGAATAACAGGAAAAGTCGTCGATGGATCTATAATTTCCTCACTAACAGAACACAGAGAGTAGTCGTCAACAGAGTAAAGTCCGAGGCAGCTACGGTGAAAAGCTCTGTTCCACAAGGCACAGTACTAGCTCCCATCTTGTTCCTCATCCTCATATCCGACATAGACAAGGATGTCAGCCACAGCACCGTGTCTTCCTTTGCAGATGACACCCGAATCTGCATGACAGTGTCTTCCATTGCAGACACTGCAAGGCTCCAGGAAAACATCAACCAAATCTTTCAGTGGCTGCAGAAAACAATATGAAGTTCAACGATGAGAAATTTCAATTCTCCGATAGGGTAAACATGAGGAAATTAAATCTTCATCAAGTACAAAAAAAATTCTGGCCACAAAATAGAGCGAAACACAACGTCAAAGACCTGGGAGTGATTAGTCGGAGGATCTCACCTTCAAGGAACCAAAAACATTGTATCAATCGCATCTGCTAGAAAATGACAGGATGGATAATGAGAACCTTCAAACTAGGGAGGCCAAGCCCATGATGACACTTTTCGGTCACTTGTTCTATCTAGGCTGGAATATTGCTGCACTCTAACAGCACCTTTCAAGGCAGGTGAAATTGCCGACCTAGAAAATGTACAGAGAATTTTCACGGCGCGCATAACGGAGATAAAACACCTCAATTACGGGGAGCGCTTGAGGTTTCTAAACCTGTATTCCCTGGAATGCAGGAGGGAGAGATACATGATTATATACACCTGGAAAATCCTAGAGGACTAGTACCGAACTTGCACACGAAAATCACTCACTACGAAAGCAAAAGACTTGGCAGACGATGCACCATCCCCCCAATGAAAAGCAGGGGTGTCACTAGCACGTTAAGAGACCATACAATAAGTGTCAGGGGCCCGAGACTGTTCAACTGCCTCCCAGCACACATAAGGGGGATTACCAACAGACCCCTGGCAGTCTTCAAGCTGGCACTGGACAAGCACCTAAAGTCAGTTCCTGATCAGCCGGGCTGTGGCTCGTACGTTGGTTTGCGTGCAGCCAGCAGCAACAGCCTGGTTGATCAGGCGCTGATCCACCAGGAGACCTGGTCACAGACCGGGCCGCGGGGGCATTGACCCCCGAAACTCTCTCCAGGTAAACTCCAGGTATTGCAGCCATGTATAAACGTAAGTAACCATTCTTACAGTATTCATTACCTTTGTAACTTGTGAGTTCATTACCTTTGTAACTTGTGAGTTCATTACCTTGTACCTAGTTCAGCCATCAAAACTTTGGAGCCCGGTCCCTGGACCCATTGTGTACCTCTGTAATCTGTAAATACCTTTGTAACTTGTCATGATTGTGACTAGACCTACCTGGAGTTCATTACCTTTGTAAATTGTGAGTTCATTACCTTTGTAAATTGTGAATTCATTACCTCTGTAACTTGTTCAGCTATCAAAACTTTGAGGCCCAGTCCCTGGACCCATTATGTACCTCTGTAATCTTTTGACTACCGCCCACAGGATGGGTATGGGGTGCATAATAAGATAAGATAAGATAAGATTTCGTTCGGATTTTTAACCCCGGAGGGTTAGCCACCCAGGATAACCCAAGAAAGTCAGTGCGTCATCGAGGACTGTCTAACTTATTTCCATTGGGGTCCTTAATCTTGTCCCCCAGGATGCGACCCACACCAGTCGACTAACACCCAGGTACCTATTTGCTGCTAGGTGAACAGGACAACAGGTGTAAGGAAACGTGTCGAAATGTTTCCACCCGCCGGGAATCGAACCCGGGACCTCCGTGTGTGAAGCGGGAGCTTTAGCCACCAGGCCACCAGGCCACCGGGCCACCTAATAAACATATTAAACTTAACTAGGTATCGAAGGGGGACATTTTTTTGCGACCTAGGTGTCCCAAATTCCTACTTGTCTAACTGATAAATAATAATTATCAATGTTCATTTACTGTTATGTATATAATGATACATTCAGATAAATGCAATTTTCCACAATAATGTTAGTTAACAGTTAGTTTTAAGTTGAACTAGGTAGCATGGTGGTGAAATTGGCCTATATGGGGTTTTGTGACTAGCTCCGTACTAGGTTAAGTTATATAAAGTTTGTCAGGAAACAGAACAAGTGTTTCCTGAAGTAGGTCTTAGTTATATAACCCACATTATTATAATCAGCTGACCGAGAATTTTTCACTGGCTTACCCTTTTAAAAAATATAGTACTATATATCCCTGCGTGAGCCTAAAAGGATATATACTTACTGGTGCCATGTACCCTGGAGAGCTCTTCTTTGAGCTGTGCTATCTGGAGGAGGAGACGTCGAGTGTGAGCTCTATGTTCCTCCTCCCTCCACGCCAGCTGTCTCTCGTAGCTTGCACCTTCATCCTCACCTGAGATAAAATTAGATATAAGTATAATATACCTGTCTGTAAATGCAGTAATTATTATTATTATTATTATTATTATTATTATTATTATTATTATTATTATTATTATTATTATTATAATCAAGGGGAAGCGCTAAACCCGTAGGATTATACAGCGCCTGGGGGAGGGGATGTGGAAGGCATTCAGGCTTAATTCGGGGAACTGGAGCACAGATCCAATTCCCTAAATCAAGAGCCCCTCACCAACATCAAGGAACCTTCCCTGAGGGGTGTAAAAAAAAAAATGAGGTAAAAGGGCAAATGTGCAACTAGTGAGACACTATGTGGCAAGGCTTCACCCTCCAGGAACTTTCTCAAGCTAATACAAAAAATACATGGATACCCAAATATATCCTGTGTCCAGTGTAAATTATTATAATCATAACTACGCACTAAACCCATAGGAGTCCTACGGATCTGCATCCTTGTGTAAAATATTTCATCAGTTGTGCGTGTCCTTCTGCCTGACTTGTAGTGACCATATTTTGTATAAATGTATCATACAAGTTTAAAAAAATTCCCGTTGGTCTTAGCGTACTGTTTTTCTGATGCCGGTCCAGAGATATATTTTTAATACATTATTTCTTGTGTAATTATAGTTCATAGCCTAGTGTTCTCCCTGTTCCTAGCACCAATAAATATTTGTGTTAGTGTGTGTGTGTAAACCCACCAAATAGTTAATGGGGAGAGGGGAGTCTGAGTCTCAGCTCCTGGACTGCCTACTCCTGCTGTAGGAGCTGTAATGTCAAAGATTACCACCACCGGTCTGTTTTTTGGATCTTTGAGTCGGCCAATACTGAACTGATAATGGCGACTGTTTCTCACTTTCTTTTCCGTTGGAACCCTCTTTCCCAGGGTGCACTAAGATCGTGGCCTGGGATCGATCCCTGGCACTGGTGAAACATTAGGCATATTTCCTTACACCTGTTGTCCCTGTTCATCCAGCAGTAAGTAGGTACCTGGGTGTTAGTCACCTCACACCTGCTGCCTAGAATTAAGTAGGTACCTGGGTGTTAGCAGATTGGTGTGGGTCGCATCCTGGGGGACAAGATTAACCTAGGCTGCTTGAGATTCTCTGCATAACCAAGGGCTTTCCATATAGTATGTCAATGATGCCAGCTACGTCTATATCAGTTCTAAAACGTAATTTGTGAAAATAAAGATTTATTATTATTATTATTATTATTATTATTATTATTATTATTATTATTATTATTATTACTACTACTACTACTACTATAAAGAATATACAATTGAATTACTACCAAATTCTTACTACTACTAGTCTAGTAATATAACTAAAAATACCCTACTACTCCACTACACTTAGTTTATTTGACTACAACACTTGTACTGCTAAGAGTCCTTGATGGTAGTAAATACTCTGGCATGTTGCTGTCCTTGATAGTAGTAAGTACTCTGGCATGTTGCTGTCCTTGATAGTACTAAGTACTCTGGCATGTTGCTGCGTCCTTGATAGCAGTAAGAACTCTGGCATGTTGCTCACTGTCCTTGATGATAATAAGTACTCTGGCATGTTGCTGTGTCCTTGATAGTAATAAGAACTCTGGCATATTGCTCAAGTTACTGAAGCCTCCCTCAAGGAGGTTTACTGACCCCCCTCCCCCCACTGAGGAAGCCAAGAAGATCAGAGAGAGAGCGTAGGAGATGGTACAAAAGAAGAAAACGAGTTACCAAATTGCTTAAAAACATAAACATGTCGCAACGAAGGAAAGATATAGTCTTAGCCGAGAAATCACTGATTCAGAGCAAAAACAAAGGATGTCTTACCAAACAGAGGAAGCATAAAGTGAACAAACTTCACGGAACAGCACAGTCGACATAACCTAAACCAGCATGGTTTTAGAGCAGGACGTTCATGCCTCTCACAGCTGCTGAACCACTGTGACAGAATTATGGAACCGCTGGAAGAAAACCAAAACACAGATGTGAATACACAGATTTTGCAAAGGCGTTTGACAAACGTGATCATGGGGTGATTACACGCAAAATGAGGGCCACAGGCATTACGGGGAAGGTAGGCAGATGGATTTTCAGGTTCCTAGCACACAAAACACAAAAAGTAGTAAAAAGAGCAAAGCCCAGGACCAGCAAGGTAAAAAACATCAATTCCCCAAGGCACTGTTATAGCACCTCTGCTGCTTATCCTCATAATAGACAGATAAAAACACTCGTCACAGCTTTGTATCATCATTTGCAGATGACACCTAAAATAAGCATGAAAGTCACTTTGGCAGAAGACACTTAAAAATTATAGGAAGATATAAACAATATTTTCCTGTGGACAGTAGAAAACAACATGACAGTCAACTGCTTAGGTATAGAAAGAATGAAGAACTCAAAACGAACACTGTATACAAAACTAAAGTGGATAGTCAAACAGAACGCAAGGAACACACGAAAGACTTGGGAATAATTGTCAGCTGACCTTTCTTTCAAAGAACACAGTACGATAAAGGTCACGACAACCAGGAAGATGAAGGGGTGGGTAATGAGAACCTTCAAAACATGGGAAATAATGCCAATGGTGACACTTTCAAATCGATAGTGCTCCTTCACTTAGAATACTGCTTAGTGTTGACGGCCCCATTCAGGGCAGGAGAAATGTCAGAGCTGGAACAAATATTGATATCTTTTACGGCCCACATAGTGCCAATAAAGCATTTAAATTATGGGGAAAGCCTTAAAGTCTTAAATATGTACTCACTGGAACGGAGGAAAGATACACGATAATATATACCTGGAAGGTACCTGAGGGTCTTGTCTCAAATCTGCACACTACCATAACAACATAATGGAGCAAGAGATATGGGAAGAAGTGCAAAATAAACCCGGTGAAAAGCAGGGGTGTGGTGAGCACAATAAGGGAAAACTGTATCAACATTCGTTGACCCAGACTAATCAACATCTTACCAGAAGATATTAGAAACTGCTCCTCTTCAAGGGGGGCTCCTTGGCGTGGTGAAGAGGCTCTTGGTCTGAGGAATTAGACCTGTCGGTCTACTTCCTCAGACCAAACCTAATTACCCCCCAATCCCCCATTCCCTATCCCATCCTCCCCTTTTTCCTTTCCTCCTCCTCCTCCCCACCCCTCCCTTTTGCCCTTCCTTTTTGGCCTTTTTTTTTTTTTTTTTTCCACAGGCACGCTAGTTCCTAGGTAGGGGAAAGGGTACCGGGGTCCATCCCATTCCGTTGAGGTTCTTGGCGGTGGTGTAGTTTGCCGTGGAATCTGGATTGCCTGGGGATGTCCTGATCCCTCTCCGGTATCCCGGAGGGTGGCTTTGGGTGTCTCTCGGGCGACGGGTGTATCTCTGGAAGCCACCTTTCGGATTCCGGGGGTGGTGGCCGAAGGAGGTATGCTTTGTGGCGGATTTCCGGCAGCCCTCTCTTTTGTCCACCGAGGTAGCTCGGCAGATGTGAGGTTGCTATCCCGGATTGCCAGTTTACTGGCATGATGGGTAGGGTATGGCACGGGTTCCATGCTGCATCTGCGCTACTTGCGGTGCTGAGGTCCTCTTGGGCGTGGAGGGAGATTTCTGGCCCTTTCATTCCTCCTAGGAACTATCCCTCCCCGGTCCCCCCTTTTTTTATTCTTTTTTTTCTTTTTATTTTCTTTTCTTCTTTCTTTTTTTTCTTAAAAACAAAAAGAAAGAAGTAACCTAACTATGGCAGCCCTAGTCCATGAACCTGCTACCCCCGGGCCCCTTCTTGATACCGCACCCCGTTCTGACCCCGCCTCGTCTTTGGACCACTCTTCGGACACTCCTCATGCCTCTGTACCTCTTGCCGGTGCTGTTTCCTCACCCGCTTCAGGTACTGAGGCCTCGACTGACTCCTTCGATTTATCTGACCTTCGCTCTCCTCTGACTATGCTTCCGGCCTCTCCCTCTACGGTGCGGCAATTTTCGAATCGCCGGCCCGTTCCACGTCGGACCAACTCTGGTCCCACGCCTAAACGACAACGACAATTACCTGCTGATGATACTTCTCCACCTTCTCGTTCTTCTCAGAAAAGATCGACACGTCCTTCACTACCTTTCCACGCTCAGTTCCAGACTGCACAATGGACTAAATTCTTCACTTTACGACCGACTTCCTCTACTGCCTATCTTTCTGACCACAGTATTGGCAAGGCACTCCTACGCCATGTTGGTAAAGATATTTCTTTTCATGCTCTTAAGAGCGGTACGCGCATCGTCACCGTACAGAATGCTACCCAGGCTCATGAGCTTTCTCGTCTTTCCCATATCGATACTGTTCGTGTAACTATTGAAAAGCATCATTCCCTCAATTCTTGTAGTGGTACCATCATTCTGCCCCATACCATAGTTCAACAAAATTTCCAGACATGTGGCACTGACATTCTTGAACAGCTGGAACTCCAAGATCTCCCAATCCTCAAGGTAGACACTTACGATCTTTCTGCCCGTGGGCGGAGACGATACCCTAGCAATGTGGCTCGTTTAACTTTTGACAGCCGTGAACTCCCTTCCTCAGTTTATGTAGCAGGACATCGGTTACAAGTTCGAAAGGTGATCCCTACACCGCAACAGTGTAGAAATTGCTGGCAATTTGGCCATCCAGCGAAATATTGCAGATCTATCGCCGAATGCCCAGTCTGTGGTGCCGATGACCATTCTAATACGTCTTGCAATCGACCTCCCTCTTGCCTTAATTGTCATGAGGCTCACCCTTCGTACTCTCGCCGTTGTCAAGTCTACTTAAACGAGCGGGAAATCCGTTACCTCAAAGAGGCAGAAGGTCTCCCTTATGCCATGGCAGTTTCTTATCTCTGCCTCCAAGGGAGACTACCTCGTGTTTCTTATTCCCGTGTTTCAAAATGTCCCCCCACTTCTGGTATCCCATCTTCTGCACCCGCCTCTGTGGTTACCTCTCCCATAGTCACTCCTGTAGCTAATTCTTTTGCTGTCCTCGGCTCAGAC